ACATCACATTGGGATGTATTTGGTTTAGTGTCCAGATGCCTTGTCCTTAATCTGCCCCATGCATAAAATGAAAATCCCACGATCCCAGTCCAAAGGAAATCTCAGAAAAGGAATTCTCCCCAGCTCTGGAAGCACAATGGGTTGCTGAATGCTACTGAGAACTGAATTACCATAATCCAATTTGGCTGGCGTGACACTGGAACAGAATTCTTCCTGCTATACATGGCGAAATATCTGTTGAGTTTGAAGCCACTCAGCAGGATGCAAGAGTTTTTAAAAAAAGAAAAACAAGGCCTTTTCCACCAACATGCTTTCAGTGCACACACCGGGGCTGACTGCCAGAACTCCTGAGCGTTCTCAACTTCATTTCCTGCCCGTGGGAGCTGCGGGCGCTCGGCACTTCTGAAAATTATGTCTCATCATCTTTCCTCCCCCATCCTCAGCCCAGAATAATTGCCACAGTGGAAGGGCTGCACCAAGGTCCTGATCCTGTTACCCTCATCCAGAAGACGAGTCCCCCTTGATTTCAATGGGACTGCTTGCAAGAGTACGGGCTGGAGGATTGAGGCCCACTCTCAAAGGAATATTCAAATGTTGCCCCCTGGGCTATGGTCATAATCCTTTCAAGCCAAATGCTGCAGTAAGGGTGCTGGTATCCTGCTAACCAGGAGATCTGGTTGCCCCATGCAAAGCACAACCTCTCATGGCATCTGTGCTCAGATACCAGGATGCTGAGGGGCCTTATAAAAACCAAGATCGTTTCCCAGGGGGGCACGTATCACCTTCATTAAAGAGACACACCACCACACTCACTCTCCAACTGAAGCTCCTGAACTTTGATTCTCATCCGCATTAGGCTTCATTTGCCATGACCACCGGCAAAATGAAGAGGGTGGGATATCCGCACGCTGCGCTGTCTTTAAGGGCTGGTCCACACTAACCCCCCAGTTCGAACTAAGATACGCAACTTCAGCTACGTGAATAACGTAGCTGAAGTCGAAGTATCTTAGTTCAAACTACAAGGTACTTACCGCGGGTCCACACACGGCAGGCAGGCTCCCCCGTCGACTCTGCCTATTCCTCTCGTGGAGCAGGAGTAGCGGTGTCGACGGCGAGCACTTCCGGGATCGATTTATCGCGTCTAGACAAGACGCGATAAATCGATCCCAGAAGATCGATTGCTTACCGCCAAACCCGGAGGTAAGTATAGACGTACCCTAAGAGGACAAGAAAAGCTCTTTTCCTTGCTGGACCAAATTCAGCATGCCGCACACACCAGTCAGGCTGCATCGTGAAATTTAGGTGGGTTTTCAAGATAGTCTGCCGATGAGCCAGCTGCCATAACCAACATGTTACAGGCATTTAAAGAAATGCCAAGGTAATGGGCCGGAGTCTGTTCTGGCTTGCTCTGCTTTTACACCCATCTACACCGTCTCCGGCTTTGATGGGATGGTTTGTGATTGCTGCTGGAGAATCAGTGCCTGGAATTTATTCCATGCAGGAGCTAACCCATCAAAGCTAGAGAGGGTGCTAAGACAGGGCTTGGCAAGCTCCATTTTTCACTGATCACTTCGTTCCATTTCTTCCTTCTGCTGGAAGCAGATGGAATTGGATTTTTCACCTTTACCCAGAGCCAAGAGTGACGGGCTCTTGCACGTGATGCTAGTGGAGGTGGAAAGGCACAAGCATCGCCACACGCCACGCGCGCTGGAACACGATGTGCAGAACTAGCACAGCCAGCACGGGATTCATGGCTGGCGCTGCACCACAGGAGTGGTGTTAAGAAACGCTCGCTCTCCCTTCACATTTGTCACTGTCTCTCGCGCCCGGGCAGCCTCAGAAAGGTTTCGGCGCTTGTTCGAACGCAGAGGTGAGCGTGTAACAGCATCAATGTCAGCACTTGCTTTGGAGGCAAAGCTCATTTATCTGGAAAACTGCAGCAGAGAAAACCTGCAAACACGGGTTACAGCTTTTTTTATTTTAAGCCGCTCCATTATTTATGCCGCTCTCCAGGAGTTCTGAGGCTGCCTAACATGCAGCATTATCCAGCTATTAAGCAATGGAGTTTGCTCTTAGAAAGACTCTGCATCTCCCAGAGCCCCCAGATCTTCAGGGCTTTATGTCACAATGCATCGCAAGCAACCTGACAGGGAGGGGAGGACCGGGTGGGTGGGCTCTGCAAACTGAGACCCCTTTCTGCTACCAACCCCGGCTAACGTTGCCATCGCATTTGGTTCTGCAGCGTAGCAAAAGATCGTTCCGCTGGGCAGCCTGCCCCGTGGTGTCTGCCTGCTGTGGCCAGAGGTAGGCCTATATTGCAATCCAAAATGTGACTGCAGCTCGGTCAGACGTACCCGCGCTAGCTTGAATCTAGCTACCGCCAATAAAAATGGCACTGTCGGTGCAGTGGCGTGGAGATCAGCGTAGGCTGTAGAAGCCCCCCTGGAATCCAGTGTGATGCTGGCAAACCAGGTGCCAGCTTATGCCAAGGTACCCATGCCTCCCTTGGATGCTGACAAACACATAGCTGGAATTAGTCTGGCTCACCTGCGTGTTAGTATTGTTAAAACAGGTATTAGAGCTACAAAAATGTGCTTAAAGTTTAGGCTTTGCTGAATGCTTGTAAGTTGCTGCAGGCATTAATCTCACTTACAACATCTGACTCCCATATTGTAAGGTAATATTGAAACGTTTGCATTGTCAGCCTCTGTAACTATGCATACCACCAGAGAGGAAAGAGACATGAATCCACATGAAGTACAAGTCTCCACCAGGAGGTGTTATCTCCTGCCCAACAAAGGAGGGCCCAGCAACACCAGATGAACTTTTGTGGAACGTCAGAGGACAAAAGACTCTCCCCGGCCCCGGGAAGAGAAGACATGCAAGTGAATTCTTCCCAACTGAATTAGCAACTGGAAGCAGAAGTGGGGAAGGAATAATAAACCCTAACAAGAGAAACTGTATCTTTTACGCTGCTTGGACTCTGAAGGGCAAGGGTTACTAAGCATAAACAGAAGCTCTCCAGTGCTTGGCCTGGGTTAGCCCTAAAGGACACGTAGAGCTTGCTTATCCTCATTTGTGCGTACGTATGTTTACCAGCCTTAGCCTTGTAAATAACTTTCATTTCCTTTTCCTAGTTAATAAACCTTTAGATAATCTGTTACAGGACTGGCTACAAATATTGTCTTTAGTGTGAGATCAAAGGTGCAATTGACCAGAGGTAAGTGAATGGTCCTTGGGACTGGGAGTAACCTGAATGTTGTTAAGTACCCGAGGGGTAGCCGTGTTAGTCTGAATCTGTAAAAAGCAACAGAGGGTCCTGTGGCACCTTTGAGACTTTGAGACCTTTGCATTTGAAGAAGTGAGGTTCTTACCCACGAAAGCTTACGCTCCAATACTTCTGTTAGTCTCAAAGGTGCCACAGGACCCTCTGTTGCTGAATGTTGTTGTGATTTTTAGTGTAAGGGACCATCTGTCACAAAGGCAAGCTTGCCTAGGTGACAAGATAGGCCGGAGTACCCAAGAGGACTGTCTGTGACTCCGTGGTTAGGCCGTTATAGGGCCTGAGGAGTTTACACTTGATGCTTGGTTGGTGAAATCTAAGTAGAGAACTCACAGCCAATTTGGGGTTTGTGCTCTGCTTCTTAACAGTCTGCCCTAAGGGTGGTGCTGAACCACTGCAGGTCAGCTTGAGTCCCAGGGACATATCTGCATTGCTGACGCCAGTGTCATCACATCTACGCGACTGGTTTTATCAGTGCTGTGTCTTCCTGAGCTGCAAAAGCACTTTGGATTGCAGTGCAGCCGAACCTCAAGGGTGGTCCTGAGTCATGAAAACACTTCCTGCCCAGTGGATTTCAAAGGGCAGGTGAGGAACTAATACTCAGGGCTTGGTTACACTTGTGAGTTAGAGC